CAGAGTCAAAAGAATGCTCAACTGGCATCCACTGGAGGCCTTCAAATTCATCATTTACCTGTGAAAAGAAAAACAAAATGAGTTCCTGTCAATCACTGGTTATCCAGATTAAAGCTAACCTTGTTTTATCTATTTACAACACTGAGGCAGTGAAGTGGTAAAACGTTAATTTTTAGCAGGAAAAGAAAAAAAAAAGAGATTTTTCCTTGGTGAGAATGAAACTGTCTTGATTTCTTTTCTGCTAGAGTTTGTTTTTCTTATCTATCAAGAGTGTCATGCAGAGGAAAACAGATTTAAGGAACAATTTTATCTCTTTCTTGGGAAATTAGGAAAACAAGTCACTAGTGAACAGAAAAGCAGATGAGAATTATATTTTTATTAGCAAAAACAATTGAGAAATGGAAACAGAGAACAAACCTGCTGCAAAGATTAAGATTATGAAAAATCGATCTGTCGTAACATAACTGGAATGCAGAGAAACGCTATTTTCATATTGTTAACTGAAAAATAACGCCATTCCAGTTGCTAGGAACATTCTGTTTTTTGTTTTTATTAGTTACCTTGTTCAATTAAATTCATTTCATATTTTGCTTTGATAAAGTCCACATTGGACGAAACGTGTCAGCAATTACTAGTTTTCCTATTGTCATTTTTATTCATAAATATTGTCTTCTCTACTGGTTAAATCAGAGAAATATATATATATATATATATATATATATGTATGTGTGTGTGTGGGTACATTTGATAAAATATAATTTTCAGGTATGCTATATATATGGGTTAAAGTGCTCAATATCAGGGATAGTGTATGTAAATATAAAAGCGGACATTATTATGATTACATTTAAACATGAAACAGACTGATGCCATTGAGTGCTAATCTCAATGTCCACTTATTATATAAGCGGATACTAATGTTAACATTCAGTAGCAACAGTCTGTTTTATGCTTAAACACAATCTTCAGGCCATGTGTGCTGTGTTTTGGCTCAACTATTTATATATGCTAGTCAATGGGGAATTTTAGTCAATGGACAGGTTTATTGTATTAACAGTTATTGCATGGGCAGTAACAGTAATGTTTCAAATTATTTTAGGGGTAGTGAGTGGAAATAATTGTGGATCCGAATGCAGTTTTCTTGTAGCTATTTTATAGTGTTGTTTGGTAACATTATTTACTCATTTTTCTTTCATTTGTTTTTAGTTTTTGATTTTTAAGTAATGTAGTAAAAATTTGTTTTCTAGTCAGCATTTTGAGTTCTGATCATTTAATTATCTGTGTCTGAAAGAGAAAATAGATATAATTACCTTCCCAGACCAAAACACAAATAAAAAAATAAATAAATAAGGAAAATAAAATAATCCAATTCAATATCTAAGCAAACAAGTGAATAATAAACAAACTAACAAACAGGACATACTGGGTATTCAATCTCAATTTGACAGTTTTTTTTTTTTTTAAGGGAAAACAAAGTGAATATATAAAGCCCCAAATCAATTTATTGGAAGAGCCAGAAAAGTGTCATACAGGATATAATCATCAAGACAATTCACTCACAGAAGCCACCCTCAGCATCGACTACAGCCTTGATCGGACTTCTGAATCGTGCACATGCAACCTTCATGATGTCCCTGGGGAGAGCCTCAAACACCTCCTTAATCCTATCAATCAGCTGGGCCTTAGTGTTACAGGCAGTACAGTTGGTGTCTTTCCAAACCACAACCCAACACGTAAACATCCATAGGATTACAATCAGGGGAGTTAGGGGGCCATTCATTGGGACTGGTGAAGTTGCCAAAATTATCTGGCAACCACTTCTGACTCTTTCTGGTGGTATACCAGTGAATGGAATCTTGCTACTACACATACGGTCATCCAGTAACCACTCTCTCCATCCAAATTGAGCCAGAGATCCTGTTCAAAAATATGAAGTGGCATGACATCAACCTCACTGGAGACACACCGAAAAACCATCATAGAAATTTGGTCTTTATGGCACAAGAAATGTGATATGGATTGTAGGCAAGCTGTTGTACAGTTGGTCCAGATAAAAGTTCTTTTCATCAGAGAAGAACCAGATTTCAACTGGATGTTTCATCTTGTTTAAGAGTTTCTTTGCCTTTGTCAGATGGTTTTCTTGAGCCTTTTTTTGAAAGAAGTTGCCTATTGGCTGGTAGCAGGGATTTTTTATTCAAAATCAGGTTCACGATGGAAATTCGAACACTCATTTCCTATGCCAAAGGCCCACATTCCCTTGCCTGAGTCTTTCATAATGTTCTCCTGCAGTTATTGAATGAATTCTAGTATATGGAGACAATCAGAACAATTGCTATGTTCTTTCCTACATGCCTCATAGCCTCTGTTGCATTTCACCCCCATTTCATATCTTATTGTTTTCATGGTGTTCAAAGAGCTTTTAGCACCTGTCATGATTGCAGCATTTTGATGCCCAGCAATGAATCATCATGATGTAGGTTAACCTTTTCCAATATTTAGATGCCTTTTACTTGTCCATGTCAGTTAACTTTCATACCTCTACAACTGCAGTGACAAGGTGTCACAATGCCAGTCACTGTTACAGCATACTGGGATTTCTTCTTAACCAAGAAGATAGGACTGAGAACTGGCCTATCTGCCATATTGTTGTTCATTCTTGTTGTGAAGTCAGGACAACCATTTGACTATATCCATTTTGTATATTTACACCATTCTTACTTTGTGAATTTCTTACTTTATTACTGCTTCTTTGTCTACTTTTGTCTTGCATATATACTGTTTGCTTATTGCTATTATTATTTTGCTGCTATTTTATTTCTTTTCATATTGTTTATTGGAAACCATATCAGTTCTGTTTGTTGGGTATTTTTGCCAATTATACTTAACTATGGCAATAGGGAAAAGTGCAGGGAGAGGTGGATTCATGCCTTAAGGGCATTAGCTCTAAGTGAACATAATCAACCATTAATTCTACTTTTCATTTACAATAATTGCTATTACAAAGTTACTGTACATGACTAGTGACCAATGAAGATATTGTAAAATTGATATTTCATTTCCTTCTTGTATAAGATGTGGGATTATCTATCAGGATCATTGCTATCCAGCAGTTTGGCAGAATTTTAAGAAAACTTTGCCAGCTCAGTATTAGAATATTATGGAATTGTTCTAATGTCATAACCAGTGACAATCAAAGTCTTGAGCTTTTATTCAGTAGATAAGGGTAATTCAGCTAGTAGATCAATATTGACTATTGATAGTAGGGACCATTATTTTATTAATAAAAGGGATGACAAGAGGAAAACATTTTAATAACTTGTTTCATTTCTTGAACAAATTTATCAAAGGCAAATATAGAAGGAACAAAAAGAGTACATTTTTATAATGCGTTTCTTGAGCAACCTTATCAAAGAGAAGTTTGAAGTGTACTGAGAAACCTACATGTATGCACAGAAAAAAAATTATCATTAGGAGGAGAAAAAAATGTAAGCATTCCAAAATAGAACATTTTAAATTACGTGAAAATCCCTTGACATTATTGAAAGATAGGAAATGATGGGGGATAATAAGTGATATAATTTTGATATCTTTTAAACAAATGTAATGTTATTGTTATTATTTTCTGATGGTCATATGGGTTGTGAACTTTTCAGCATTGGCCTACTTGTGTGTGTGTGTGTGTGTGTGTGTTTTTTTTTCTTAACCATTACACCCCAAGCAAGACATGAAGCCACTAGGATGCAGGGGGTTACAGAAGATTTGGAACGAGAGCAGATAGGAGTGATAGAAGAAAGGATGAGGAGAGGGATAGTGAATAGATCAAGGTAACTGGAGATGTCGATTGACATTGTGTGTGTGTATATGTGTGTGTGTGTGTGTGTGTGTGTAGGCAGTATATCTCCATTCAAACATGTTTTGTTGATTAATAGAGACATGTCTATTTATTTTTATAATGATCCTTTCCAGTTCACTAATCAGATTCTTGGTAAAATGAAATTCAAAGTCCTTTCTATTATTAAGCTTTCATATCTAAGCTGTTAAATATATTTTTTTTAATTGCTTTTGTTCACCAATCTCCTCTGATCCCTTTTTATTTTTTGGTCTTTTCTTGACTCAGAGATAATCTTCTTTGCATTATTTCAATAGTTTGCCATTGTCGTAACAAAAAGATTGCCATCTGCACTGGTGATACCAAAAGTTACAATCAAAAAATACACTTGGCATAATATATACAAAGGTGTGTTGAAAAAGTTATCAGAATGTCTCCCTCCATAAAACCACCCAAAAAACAGCATTCTTGCATAAAAATAAAATTTGAATGGATCAAAATAAATATTTATTTCCTAAATATTTTAATGGGGTTTTTATTGTGCTACTAAAAAACTAAATAATAAAGTTAAAAAAAAAAATTATTTTGGGATGGCTTAAAAAATTTAACATTTAAAGTTGTTTTTCAAGACTGTTCTGAGACAATAGAAAAAAAAAAAAAAAGTTACTTTAGAGTTTTGGCAACCTTCATCTTAAATAATTAGAATTCATATGTTGGTTTTACAACCACCACTTCATCCTGCAAACTAACCTGTGACTTTAATGACAAGGCAATTCATGTTTGTATTTATGAACATAGAAAACATTAAGAATACATATATGTTAAATATAAAAAGGAAGATTTTTGAAAGTATTAAGATGAAGATACAAAAGTTGTATAAGTGCTTTTTTTTTTTCATGCATTATCATTAGGGCTTGGATTTTGATAATGGCTAAATAAATAGCTGAAAGTGCTCAGTGAAAAAGTTTTAGAAAGTTCATACAGAAAATAACTATTGGTTGTATATTGAAACAGGACTGCTTAAGTAAAATGTTACGAAAAAAAGGCCTGTGACCTTTAACCAAACACAGAGACATTTAAATGAGATTTTTTTTTTTAAATTGCATAAGAGAAAAACATGAAATTTTATCACAGCGAAAAAAAAACAAAAACGGTTTCTCAACAAATTCTCTAACCTTTGGACTGTAATAAAGCCATCAACAACAATATATTAAAAATAAAAACGAGAT